GACTTACAGTTAAGTTTTTCAACACTCAGTGAATAAAAAGTGCTAATGTTCAAACTGAAAGAAATCCCTCCCCTCTTACCCATATTAATCCATAAGGAGGGCCATTCCGTATCAACACCACACACATCCTTCTCCTTCAATAAGCCACCACCATAGGCTTTCCTACTCATCTTATTTCTAGATTGTACATGAGGCTTCTCTTTATGATAGTCCACTGTGCTTTCAAGACTGAACTTTTTAAATGCAGTTCCTCCCTTTTAAAGAATGTGGTCAGAGCTCACATATGTCTTCACAGACAAAGTTTTTAAAAGCAAATCTCATTTCAGTGATCTGGTTTGCAGCGTAGCTCCACAAGCACTTGTTTTGGCACCAGCGGGGAAGGTGACCAGTGGTGGTGAGCACTTCTTAAGGGAGCTTCTCTGATGAAACCACTCCGTCTTGGAACCATCACTTCATGCTCCCCTCCCATAAGGGAAGGTGTGCTGGAAATCAAATCGTAAGTTCTATAATGTTATGCCTGTATTAATGACAGCAGCACATGGGAACCTCCAGGGAGCAATGTATTCTTCCAAGGCTTTCTTAAAAAGGTATAAACAATATAGAAGTATCACTAATTAAATATTGCATCACTTTTTCCAGAGAAATACATTACATTTTATAAATCTGGAAACACAAAAAAGCTTCAATTTTCCACATATGAACATATAGATATGTAAATACAAGCAAGTATAGGAATGTAATTTATGCATATTGTTGCTATCAGCACTCTTTCTCCCCCCACATTCCAGTTAAAAGCTTTTATGTGGTATGTCACTTCTCATATGTTTCACATATCCTCGAAGTGTTCATGCATTCTGTAGGTAAAATACATTAAATAACAAAGAAGCCTTGCAATTTAACGCCAAGTTACTCCACCTTTTTCCAGCCATGAAACCATGAGATGATGGGAGCCCCCCACCCAAAAGTGGAGGAGAAAAAAAACCCACAGTTTTTTCAACACTGCATCTTTAAATTTGAAAAAATATACCATTTCATTAATTCAGAGTTTGGTCTGGGGTTTTTTTCTCCCCCTCCACATAACTGTTTTACCCTCTCTTTATAACACCGGGAAAATAATTTTGCAACAATGCAAAAGAACAGTAAAACATTTGCAAGACATGATCTGTATCAGACTGCTGCAATGTGCAGAAATCAAAACTATTCTTTTTACGTGTTACTTGCAGATGCAAACATTTCTCCCATAAGTTCATTTGTGCCAGGTCCTAAAATGAGTGTTTTTAAAAAAATATTTTTCCTTTAGACAATGAAGAAATGTTTAGTTTGTAATGCAGGGAAACAAATCTATACTTGACTTTTTAAACCAGCAAGGCCTCAAAAATACGCTATATCTGATACTTAATATTAGAATCATATCTTGTATTTCACTATTTCAAAAACACCCAACACAGTATAGTACTGACAACTATAGTCAGAATCTACCGCCACTTGTTGTGAGGTAATTTTTTGGGAGGCTTGTTACAAAGAAAGGACCCAGGACAAGAATAAAACTTTCTATAGCTGTATTATGAATCTTACAAATACCAGTAGTAATTTTTTTTCAAAATCAAAGATGACTTTGCAGAATTTCCTGAATAACTAAACTCCGTATTTCTTCAATAATTTCCTTAAGAAAATAATTCTAAAACTGCTTCACTGAGCATGTTTGCTGTCTTAGAGATTTATTACCTGTCTCATCCCAAATGGGCTCAATTCTCATATTTTTCATAATGTGAAAGTACACAGGCAACTGTTTAGCCTGAAATGTACATTTGCTTCACAGTCAAGCTATTTGGGAAATTCTCCCTACCTGATATTTTTCCTTCTTCTAAATTCTTTCTTAGTCCAGACATTTAGGCATAATTCCTTGCTGTCAGCAAATGAAGTCGGTACACAAGTTTTTTCAGTAATGTCATCACCTGCACATAAAGGGATTGCCAGGTTGTCAAGGGGACTTGACACGTTAAAAATCTAATGATAACTTTTCCAATATTTAACTCAAATGTTCTAGAATAAAGATCTGAAACTACATAAAATAAGGCTAATCTTAACAAAAATGGAATCTAAGAGGGGGAATTAAAAAATCAAAACCGGATCTAATAGAATTCCTGTATTTTTTTAATTCTCTATGCCGTCTCCAGAGATTTGTGCCTTTCAAAGTACAAATCTGATCACTGTAGCCCACCACATTACCAAAGTAATTAATCAAAAAATGTTGTCTGCAGAAGCCAGGACATCATCCTGTAGTGCTTGGCAATTGCATGAAGTAGAACATAAGGGAACTGAGTAGGGTGCTAGTAGAAATGTTACCAACTTTTTAAAAAAGTTAAAGTGTTGCAGAGACACTGAAAATTGCTAGTGTAGCCTTCCAATAACCAGAGTAGTCTTTTTTTGATGAGTTACTCATTCCCAGCAATGAATCTGATGGATCTTGACCAACAGTCTTAAAACTTCACAAAAAGTGAAGAGGTCATACAAGCGACTCTCTCAGTTTTTAACAGATGAATTCCTAGCTCTAGACAGAGACACAGACAGACACACAGAGAGACAGAAAACAATCCTCTTTCTTTGATGTTACTACAGGCAAAAGGAGAAAGAAGCAATGCATCCAAAGCAGTGACAAGTCATTGTAGAGGTGGGATTTGGCTATGTCCTTCAAGGAATCGTGACTGAAGCATCAGTTTACTACATTCAGTGTCCAGCCTGAAGGCTACATAGTGAATGTGTAAATCGAGCTTCAAGAGATCTCTTTGCAACAATCAAGTATCAAATATATTTTTATCAGTGATAATGCATGTGTCATGAAGAACATTATCATAATGGTGGTAATTTCACACTATCTTGACACAAAGGTAAATCCTGAATGCCTCCACAGTGGAAGTGTTTGTTGTTCTTCCTTCTTTCTGCTATAGCCTTGGAAACCCGAAGAGATGACTTAAAGTTTGGGCCTTTTTAAGTACGAGGCATGGTTTAAAATGAAGCCTTGGACATAACACCACTTCAGAAAGAATACTGACTTGTTTAAGGGACTTATCAAAAATCACCAGCGACAAGAACTTAGGCAATCTTTTAGTATAAACACTTTGTCTTCCATCTGAAGGTTATGAACAGAGAAAGGGGGCACAACACTTTCAGCTTAAAGGATGCTGCTAGTGTGAGAACTGAGGTGCTGATCAGTGGACTGGACTTTGTCATTGGCTGAATCTGGCACTTAAGAACATGTCAAAATGCATAACACACTACGAACCCATCCATCACAGCACTAAAAGAAAAGAAGTGTCACAGAGTTGGTGCCTCAAAACTGCGGACTGGTAATATCAGGCTCCCCAGAGTAGTAGGTACCAAAATGTGGTCTGTGGATCCTTTCAGTTCTAACGATCTGCAAAAGTGACTTCGAAAGGCAAATCTATATAAGCTATGTAAGTAATCAAATATATGTGTATTTTAAAAGGAGCCCATATCTTCACTGGAAAACACCTACAAGTTTATAAAATTAGTGAGAAAAATGGCCTAAAAACCTCTATTGCAGAAGTACCTAAAATATTCTGGGGTGCTCCTAGAAAAAGTTTGTTCTCACTATGTCTGGACAACACTTTCTTGTTGACTTAAAAGTAAAAATAGACTGGCACTCAGTCTCCCTGCTAGACTATTGAGAGTGTCAAGAACTCTTAAAACCACTGCCAGACAAATGGATTTGCCAAAAGGTAGCATACAGCTTCACTTCCCTGTCCTACAGACTAAGACTGCACACAGCACTTCTTGGAATGAGTCATCCAGGCAACTAAGATACTTCTAAACAAAACCTACAGCTTCACAGAACACGGGGTGTTGAAGCTGGCTGGACAAGGCAGCAGCTATACCTCCAGAAACTTATTGTTCTTAAACATTATTCAGAAGCAAGAGATTCTTTCTTTGTATTTTCAAGCAAGGCCTGCCAACAGAATGCAAGGAGAAAATGAAACTAACAGACCTAACTCCAAAAACCACAAACACTAAAGAAACTAGGAAAAAGAAAAGCTTCCCACCCCCCCACCATCTGAGAACAACTCCAGGTCCTCCTCAAACTGCAAGGCAACTAAGGGATACTAAAAAGCAGCACCACTGTGTAAAGCCTTCACTGTGAAGTACAAATACAGGCAGATTGCACATGTGCTGTATGAGGAGCTGCTGACAAAGCACAAAGATTTCCAAATGAACATGCATGCACACTCACAGTGGAACATGCAAATGAACAGTTAAGTCAAAAGAGAAAATTAGTTTGAAATAGAGGGCATCATAGTATTCAACTACAAGTCAAAACCACTTCATATTTGATTGTTAGGTTCCCCTTTACATTTGACACTGTTCTCAGAGAAAGAATTGTCTCAAGTAGCACTTCAGAATCTCTTATTGCAAATGGAAACGAACATCATTGCTAATGCTCTTCTTAAATCCTTCCCCCAAAAGAATGGGACAACATGAAAGCAATTCAGTGGAAAGGATACCACAATTTCTAAAACTCAACTGTCTGAAACAATTCTTCAAATCACCAGGTACAAGTAAAGTAGCTAGAAAGTAACCTGAAAGAATAAAAGATAAAACTGTCCATGGATATTCATTCTCCCTGCTGGAAAATGAAGCAAGTCTGATGAATAACCAGGCATTTTTATGGAGAAATATATTCCATTCTCCATGCACAAACTGAGAAAGCGTAACACAGAAAACAGCAGTAGAAAACAATGTAGTTTTCTTGAACACTATAAAAAGAGAAGTAACATTACAGGTTGGTCCAAGCCAGGAATTCTGTATGAACTCCTAAATGCAAAAAGGATAACAAACTACCCCGAACAGGTGCATTCAGTTTTTTGAGGTATAGTTTTCACTGCAAAATGATGTCAACATGGACAAGTTGTTTTCATAAACTTTAGCAATATTACTGCTTTTATTTCTCTTTCCTTCCTTCTGTATTGCATCTTATGGTAGTCTTAAGTTTCCTGCCTTGCAAAAAATAAGATATACACAAGCACACTATAATTGTACTTACGATGTAAGAAGCAATCATATTTAAAACAGCGCCTACAGAAGAGTGTGTGAAAAGAGTGCAGGCTTTGCTCCCTCTGAACAGATTTAGCATTTGGTCCATCTATGTTTGGTGTGCATTCAGGAGGAAGAGCTCCGGGAAGCTGCTGCTCAGTGAGTTCTTTGTATCTTAAAAGAAATAGAAGTTATTTATTCAGTATAATAAAAAAGTAATTTTTGATTGCAGTACCACTCTGCATTGTCAGTGACAAATTAAAAGAAAATCTAAGAAATATGTGCCAGCTAGAAAGGTCAATCTATCAGCAACGTGACAAATTATTAACTCCATACTCATTAATACAAATATATATACACAAATATAAAATTAGCTAGGAAAGAATGCATTTATTTTCTGGACCGCCATCTCCTCATATATATTACTCACTAACTCCAAAAAGGAGATTTTTTTTTTTTTTCTTTTCAGAAGCTTTTATTTTACCACCTCAAAAAAAAATAACCTAGATTATTAAACACATGCAAGCACTCACTTTTCAATAGTTTGAAAGGAAGGCTAATAAACACTTCTGTATTGTTTGACTCAGTGGGAACAGCCAATTCCCTTCAAGTATCACTTGCAGAAGTTACACAACTGCCATAGAACTTAGCTGCAAGGGGGACCATTCCTAATTAACAAATATTTAACAAAGTCAAGGAATCTTTGTTTCATAATTCAGCACAGCAATATATCCTAAAAAATACTTTCTTACTTCTCTTTCAATTCTTCTGCTGTACCCTTGTCTGGAAACATTGAGGAAATGGCTTCAAATATCTTGTCAGAAGGAAATCTCCGAGGTGGGTGGCTTGCTTTCTCTGTCAAAGAAGCAAAAAATTTGAAAAACAAAAAAAATATATGTTTCTGGTCCTTTGCCTGTTCAAGGAGGTGTTCAGAGAAATGGGGACTTCTCCAAAATCCTAATAAAAAAAAAAGTAAAGGTTTTTATTTCTAAATTACAGACAACTTAAACTTTTCCTGCTGAGAGAACTCTACTAGTAAAATTTGGGGAAACCATTATTTCACCAGCAGATGGAGATGGCAATTCAGAACTGCCTACTTTAGAATAATGTTTCATTTTCTGAGGAGTACCAAAGCATTTATTAGACAGATATCCAACTGATTTTTGGTGCATTTGACTGTCTCAATATGCAGATAAACAAAACTTGGCAAAAGCACCTTTTGTAGTATTCTCTGTATAACTCTTGAACTAAATGACAAAGGAAATTATGAAGAAAATGATGCTACTTTACACCTGAAAACTATCAAGTAGAAGGGTTTGAACAAATTTATTGGGTGATTAAAGAAAAAGGGGTTTGGTTTTAATTTTTAAAGTCTGCAGACAGACATACCCATCCTGTTACCTTCCCGATCTTTTTGCTTGTCATCTCTTTCATCAGGATTGTCATCTCCATCATCATCATCTTCATCATCACTATATTGACCAAGTGCATTGACCAGCTCAACAAATATTTCATCATTGATAAATCCACATTCTGAAATTCAGCAAAATTGGGAGTGAACAGAAAAGCGCAAGGTGTATGTGAAGTATTTTTAATCCTCCCTACATTTGAATTAAATTATGGCAAATGCTGTAATTTATGAAAAAACAAGTTGGTATTTTTCCCTCTTAGTTTCAATGTATGAACTGAGAAAAGTTAAAAATACTCAGTATTTATTTCTTAGACTGACAACTGGGAAGAGGAGAAGGAAACTTGTTGAAATTTTTCTTTTCCCAACTCCCTGTGCTTCATACCAGCAGACATAAAAAAAAAATCTCTTCCTTGGAAGATAAAAAAATTACTTATTAGCTAGACTATTTTAAGGGATTTTATGCCAGAATCCCAGTTCCAACATGGTTGGCTTAAGCCAGCCTGGCAACGCATGCAAACAGTCTATGAAGCTATCCTTGGACAGCTAGGGAATCTCCAGAGGGATTTTTGGTTTGTGGTTCCATAGCATCCACTTCCCCAGTACAGACCCCACTGGCAATGTGATAAAAAAAAGAATATAGTTATATTTAAAAAACAAACAAACAAACAAATCAAGAGAAACTGAAGGCATATGCTGCATATATCTGCTCATTAGCTTATATTCTGCTGTGAAATTCAAAGGGCAGCAATAGACAATAAGACATTTCTGCAGAAAGGAAAGTTGTAGTTAGTGTTGACAGAGACCGCTGTTATTTTTAAAAAAATAACCACGAACTCTGTGGGAACTGCAGTGCTTATCACCATCCTTTTGAACCTAGACTGGGTTTGGATGTCAAACTACAACTTGAAGGAAGCTAATAGTTTTATTGCAACGTAGACAATAAAAATAGGCAGGTACTTCGCTTGGATGTTTTAAACAGAAGTCTTAATATACACACACAGGTTAGTATGAATTTCTCTCTCAAAAATGCAACTACAGAGCTAGTTTACAATTCTGACTCCTACATGGGAATGCTTCTAGATTACAGATTCCCACAGCATTTACATTTAATTACAGTCACACAAGAATACTAGTTATTGGGAGACTAAAAAAACATCTTTCTACTTCTGATATATAGTTTTGAAGGACCCATAATAACAGTAATTGCCATCATAAACTTGGGACTCGAGACAGTGAAACAAGATTAATTTTAAAGCTAGACTCACTTAATAATAAATTAAATCAATACTAGAAGACATTTACTAGTAATGTCACCATTTTGACATAACCAGTTCTCTGACAAGGATGTCAGCAATCAGTAAATCTGTAAAAATATCCAAAGGCAAAACCCCATGAAACATGTCATGTTCCTCATGAAATATAAAGGTACCAGCTCTTCTGAGGACATTAACAAGACTGGTGTAGGACTGAGTAGCATTTATTATTGAATCGCAGGCTTAACCTTCATAAGTGACACACAATGTACTCAAAAATGTAGTTCCCTTTCTCAGTCACTCCAGCATTAACAGGAATATAATAAATTTTAAGAAATGATTCCCCATTTGGGTGGAGGAGGGGGTGGGTAATGTTTCTGTGAAGGGGAAAGCAGAGTAGTCAGAGAAACCTTTACAACTGTAAAGTTCAGGCTTGTATAAGCCAGTTCTGAGTGGGCACACAGAGGAAGTGAAAGGACGCTACTTCACTGAGACTTCAGCAAACTAGGAGACAGATGACATCACATATAGTCCAGCTCCCATACAAAATAAGGGGTAAACTACACCTAAGAATACATATATATAGTGTACCAACAGAAGGATACAAATTTGCTCTATAAGCTGACTTATAGAAAGGAGGTTTTTAAATAGCTAATAATTTCCTTAAAGGAAAAAAAAAAAAAGCCAACAAAACCCACAAGAGGTTATTCCGTCAAATTGCATTCGCAAGTGTTGTCATCAGAGTTTTGCATACTTTTCCTGCCACTTTCTCCTAGGCTGGACACATGTAGGGACATTACACTATTATATTCCAAAGCTCTGAGCATAAAACTGAAGACCAAGGACTTCTCCACATTGCACCTACACATTATGATGAAACACTGTATGTTCTAGGGAAAAAGTTAATGTGTTTAATTTCTCTGTACTACTACTTCAACACTTTGCAGCCCTATGAAAATGCAAAGCAATATATTTAAATAAGGAAGTCTGTTATACCCAATGTTTACACAGTATAGGGATTCTAGAAATAGTACTGTAACAATCAAGCATCAGACAACACTGACAACAGTTATTTATGTAGGAAGAAGTGATTAGTATACCTGAGTGTTTGGGCTCACCTCTGTCTCCATGCACTTTCCCATCATAGTTCTTGATCAATTCTTCAATAAAGGTACCATCCTGGTCAAGCACTTCATCTCCCATATATGGAATGTTATGTAAAACAGTTTCATCCTCTACCTAGTAACAACAGTTATAATCAAACAATTTTAAACTGTGTTTTCAATTGACCATTTCTGCATTGCTATTTTTACAATATACAAGAGTCTAGCTATCACAGTTTACTAACTGGCTTCACTGCTTTAGCATATCTACCATTAACTACATAAATAAAACAAAACCCTCATCTGTGTTCAACAATTTTTTGCACTAGGGCTGACTGGCTCAAGATATTGACACTAGCTCCTAACATTAAGGTTAGCAGGATGTTTCCACAAAACTTCTACTATTGAAACACAGTAAGCTACCTAATTTTGGGAAGCTTGCATTTAATGAGTTCATTCTCCCTTCCTTGGTTCTCTTTCGCAGCAATGTGCAATACAAACCACCCCTTCATTGCTTTGCCAGAGATAAGAAATTGTGATGCAAAAAGACTCTAAATTCAAGTTGTCTAAACAGCAAGCACAGAAACATGTCTCACAATTTAATCTGAATGCCACCGTAAGTTTTTTTTGTCTGCATACAGACTAAATGCATTGGTACTCCCATGTTTTATCAGTAGAATTTACAGACCTTGATACGCCACTGTATCTTCCAATACTACAGAAGAACCTTCTATTGTTAAGAAAATGAATGTAAACTTTCATGCTGATCATGATTCTGCAGCAGCGCAAAATATCCAAACATTGATGAATGGAAAGCAAGTAGAAAAATGTGTGGAAGAACTCTGTACCTATACTGATAAAGCCAGTTATTTAAATAACTTTGCTACGATTATTATCATAATAACCAGTCCACAAAGGTGATCATATACAAAATGATTTGGCAAAGATTTGTAATAAGCTAAGCTTTTCAAATAAGTCAAATACCTACACCAGAAATCTAATGTTATGGCTTCTGCATACAGTGGAGCTAATCAGAAGAAAAGGCATATACTCAGTTGCTATGTAAGAATGACCTTTATGTGGGGAGATTATTTCAGGATTAAGTTCTCTTTATTCCATAAGAATTACTGTTCTGCTACAGGTATGTTGGTCAATCGTCTTACACAAAGACATTCACATACCTCAGAAAACAATTCTCATTACACTACTTATATGCTTTCAAATAAATCTGTATTTGTTAAATGCCAGACAAGACAATTGGTTGACAATTGGAATTAAATAAACTTAGGGTCTCTTTACAGCAAGGTTTTAGAGATACTTATGTTCACTGAGGACAGAGGTTTAGTTTGCAAAGTTACTTTTTTTTTTTATTTCTTTCTTTTATTTGGGTGACCCTATTTCTGATTATTACTGCCTTATTACCAATACCAAAAAGATAGGGAGGGTAACTGGGAGGGTAACTGGCAACAGATTTTTGCTGTTTATTTCTAAAAAAGGGTTAACCTCTCTTTTCTCCATACATTTCTCCTCCCAGCACTTTTTTTAAACTTACCATAAAATTCTGTTGAAGGGGAGACCAAGAATACATTATAGGCACAGAAGCAACAGCATTGAGAGTCTTCAGTGGGATTACTTGTTTTGGAAAATCTATGTCACTGGTAACAGAGCACTGAAATAAGAGGTTGAAGTTACACTTATATAGCAACATCAGAAGCAAAAAGGGGGGGGGAATAATCACAGAACAACACTCTATAATGTACAAAATTCAAAGTATTTGTCAAAATTAGCTGTATCAGCCTCTGAAAAATGCATCAAATTTTTAGGGCATAACAGTAAGAATAGGTTTAGCAGGAAAAAAGACACGAGAATTATTTCTATGTCAACACCTTTGCTAATAGATCATGATGGTTTTTTCCACTTAATAATAAGTGGCTGTGATAGTATTTTCTCAGACTTTTCAACCTACAATACAAATTATGTTTGGTATCTCAAAACAGATTTAGTACCTGTTGCTGCCACACTGATGTTAGAGCATTTACTCAAGCCATCAGAGAGGCAACTGGATTCCCCTGGCTTCAGATCAATACACTGCAGAAATCATGTATTATTTATGTTAAATATATATATATTTTACTTTAATGCCAGCAAGACATCTTATGGAAATAAATCCTCCATGTGTCTTGTTAATTCCTGCCCTGTTTCCCCATTTTTGTCAGCTTATCTTTATCCTATCCTCAAACATTTGATTATGCTCACTGCTTACAATAGAAAAATGAAAACTGACTCTTAATATGCAACTCTGGACACGTCAATAAGTCTTTCAGCTACAGGACTTCTTTTGGAGATACAGAGGTTTATGTAGCCTCCAAAAGATAAACATGCCATAGAAATACAGACAACTTCTGGGTTATTCTTGCATCTATTCAACAGTTAACAGACACAGATCAACTTTTCTCAAATACTTGGACAGCAGTATGAAGAACTCTGGAAAAAAGTTATAAACAAAAGCAGACAGGAACATACAAAGCTAGGGAAAGTACAACAAAGAGGATTTGGAGGTAGGTAAAACAAAGTTTAGAACAGCTATCATAGCTACCTGAAAGGAAAAAAGGAAGTGGAGACAAAAGATCTTTCTCCTTTCCAGAAGGGAAAGATGAACAGAGCTTCACATTTCTAAAGAAATACACAAAGTAATGTAACAAACAGTATACAGAGACAGTACCCCGGCAGAATGACACAAGCCAGATTTATTTATTTTCTTTTTAATCTGCAGCAAATGAAATTAAGATTTCTGCTGTGTATATCAATACTCAAGACATTGTCCTATGCTAGTGCTTTATTCCCATTTCACGTTAATGTTTAATTTTGTAGCTAGCAGCCATCTAGTATATTTTTCATGTATTTTTAAAGAAAAATACAGAAGTAAAAAAAGAATTACTTTTATCTTTGGAACTAGAAGTCTTAGGCTGACAAATGAGCTATGTCAAAATGACTCAAAGTGTTTGGTACCAAGTCTCAGTTATGCTACCCCATTCTTTTGGTATGGAACTCAGCTTAATATTTATTAGGCTAGCACAGGACATATTACGCTCGCTGACTGGACTACTCATTGGAGAAAATCTGTGTCACCAGTGATGCCCTGCAGTCTTCACCAAACACATAAAGGCTCTCACAAAACCTTTCCATCAGGTCATTAAACTTCTAGCCAGTGTCCTATGCAACTGGGAAGAAATTCAGCATATTAAGAAAAAAAGATTTTCAAGTAATTATTTAAAACCCCCAGCATTTCTTTGTCTCACTTCTCTCATTATAAATTATGGCAATCTTAAATCAAGCATTAGAGTTCTGATTCATGAGACAGAGACTGGATTTGAATGCAGTAATTAGTGTGCTCTATCAATTCAGGCAGGAAATCAATTCAGGCAGGAAATTAACATAAAAGAATAGTGAATCAAGATACGAAAAATAAAAAAGAAGAAAAAAGAAAGGAATGGTGAGGAATGATCTTTTACCACCAAAAAAGTGAAAATTAGATGCCTACCTGTGTCAATTATTATCAGAAATTCTGACCCTACAGTGCCATATAAAAGGTATAGAGCTGTACATGAGTAATTGCATATTCAAACATGTTTAAAAGAAAACACTCAGGCAAAGGTCCTTGCCTGTTTGCATTTGAACATGCATGCACACAAATGCACCTCTGTGACACACATGCCCCCAAGTCTCCCACTAAAATCTTAGGAAGAGGAAAATCTGACAAACTTCCTTGAAGAGAAAGTGGTTTGTTTTGGGTTTTTTAATCTGTTCACAGTGAGGTCTTTTCATTCTCATACTACTGAAAAGAGTTAGCTTTTCAGACTATTATACGTGAAACATCCTCAAACTGCCTTAGTCTGGAGAAGTGCCTAAAGAGCAACTGAGAAATAAGAAAAATTAACCTGGGCTGAAAAGAGAAAGTTGGAGTAGGCTTAAACCACTGTTTGAGCACCAACATGAAAGCCAGTTTCGGTGCTCAAATTGCATCACAATCATGGAAGTGTTTTTCACAAATTTAGCATCCAGTCTGCTTGTGCAACAGCAGGGTGCATCAATTCAAACTCCTTTTAGAACTCTGTGGTTAAATTACTTCAATTTATATAAAGAAGACTTTGTCAAATGGGCATGTTCACAGCTTTCATGTGCTTTTACTCAGTAAGAATGGAAGTAACTACTTGTGTATCACTGGGCGTCAGCTCCAATAGGCGCAAGATTAAACTCCCAATACCAGTGAGACAAAACAATTTGATTAAAGGATGCTGAGGTATGATCCAAGGATTATCAGAAATAAAGAAGTTTCACTTTTACGTGTCGTTCAAAGCTAGGTAGCCTGCTATGTGCTTTCCAGAAGTCGTATGAGCGAAGTAAATAATAAATAAATAAATTCTTTGAGAGACTCATATGAAAAATACGTAGCTGCCAAGTCATGTCATGCTGGAAAAAAAAATAAAGAATAGCCAACTTTCCAGTAATAAAACAAAGACGTGCTAACAACCTTGTAAGTGGAATTACCACAACACATGTTAACCAACCTCCCTGGTCCCGCGCAATGAGCTCACAGAAGTCATGATGTGAACAGGCTGTATCCTACGTTGTTTCCATTCTTGATTTAAGATTTCAGTTCTTTCCAGTATCTTCTGACGATTAGAATTAAACATACTCTAAAAATTAACCACAATTGTAAACATTAAAAAAAAAAAAAAAAAATCAGAGACTCTAAATTCACCTGCTAGCATCTTAAGGCATTATAACATTTACTAAAAAAATAAACAAAACCAGACAGGATAAAAAAAAAAAAGCGCTCAAAACTCAACTGTCCAAATTTTGTTTAAGTGTCAGTGAGGCTCAATACAGTTCATCATCCCTTTCTTTGACTCAAACCATGTTCTGACATTTAGAGACTTAGAGGTTTAGCATGAAATTAAGTTCTAAACGGAATTAGAAAGAGTATGTGGCTAAAGAAGTTGCCATACTTGCTCTCCACAGTCTCTTCTGATACTTAGCATGCAGGCATTCAATCACATATAAATGTATCATACCTGTTTATAAGATCACAGAGTTAAGACAAGTTTTCAGTATGTTAACAAAGTATTTAATGAAATTGTTATTGCAGGTGTTAACTGCAGGACAGCTCATATTTCAGAAGAAAATAATTTTTTGTATCATTTTTTAAGTAATAGAACCAAAAGATGACATACCTTTACTTCATCCGCACGTCGGAACCTCTTGAGCTGCCTCAGTCTCATGTATTCTGATTTCACACGTTTTCGCCAACAAATTGGTCCCTTCTCAGATTTTTTTCCGGTTTGACCCATGATTATCCTACAAGAGACAATGTCACATTAATATTACCAAATCTGATGCCGCTGCTTACAGAGGAGGTTAGAGTGGTTAGGTAGGATAGAGACATTCCTTTAATACCTTACATATCTAATTCCTCTAATTCCTTTCAGTCAGACCTTGCAATACCATCCCAATCCAACAACAACAAAAAAACCCACCAAAACATACATAAGTGACAGACACTGGAAAACAGTAATTTTAATTACAAATCAGTGGGATGATTCACATTTCCTTTAAGCACTTCTATTGCCTCTATACAGAAAGGTACCTAATGTATTTAAAGGGGTGAAACAGAACAAATCAAGATTCCCACTGCAAAGATACACACTGGAATCCTTGCAGTCTTGTAAATTAACTTCTGAACAGCTATATTCATGGCAGACAAACCTTTCCCTCCTCACAGGAGTGGTCTTCTTCAATAAGATACCAACTCCTAGAATAGGCTTCTGGAATTGATTTCAAGTACAGAGAGGTACCCCAAGTACAGTCCTCCTACCCAGCCACTCAAGTGTCAAGAAGTTCTAGAAATTCAGTCATAAAGTGTTTTGAAACAGGCAGAAGAAGAGACCTTGCTCTTTTCTCAAGTATTCTACAAAAACCCAAACTGTCCAGCTGATTGCAAACAGAACACTGATTCCACTTTTACTGATGACCCTCCTAGTACCAAGTGCTTCGTTTTTATGTTACAGGGCTGTTGGCAATGAAGTTGTATTTTCATATTATAATCCAAATGCATTGCTAGAATATGCCAATCTGCTCAGCGTTTTTCAGAATCAAGGACTGTATGCTGTGACTATGCTGGCAACGACTATTTTGACAGCATCCTGAAACAAAACCACTACACTGAAGATTGGCTTCCTCTCAAGAGTTGCGCTGTAATAACCTACAGTATTTCACTGAATAGCTCAAAATAACATTCACAATAGCCATTGGGGACTGAAAGGCTGAAATGTCCAGTTGCCCAAGAGTAATACATTCTCAAACAAGCATAATCAAATTGAGCAGAAACTATTCTAGCCCTTCTAATTATCAAAGTAGGTAAACATGAACAGAGGTGTCTTCTTCAGGCTGGATTTGAATGCCAAGTGCTACCTCCCCTACCCTGCACACAGCTCCCGTGATGGTCATGAGTACAGCTTTATCCAAGTTACCGAAAGCTCTTTGCTGCTGTAGGCAGAGCTCTATTTTCAGCAGTTTGGTATGGGTTGGATTCAAGTGCTATCAGACTTTATGATGATTGGAGAGGAAATAAATACAGAACTTGTTTATTCTCAATACCACACCTTCATTTACACTGAACACATTTACATTGAACAAAAGGTAATAGTCCATGAGAGCCTGACACCCATTTTTATGAAAGACATTAAATCATGTTCTGTATTAAGAATTGTTGGATTTTTAGATTTAGAATGAAAAAATGAATTAACAAACAAATGACATAATTGCTGACGCAAACAATGAGAAGTATCCTTTGAAGAAAAAAGGTAAAGCATATAAATAAGTTTCACATAATGCCTGAAGCATCTGACTAGATAGAGGGGGAAGACAGAGAACCAGCGGGGGAGCATGGCGTGGAGGGGTGGTAAATCCAGAGCAAAGTCTCACACACAGTTGCTCTGCTCCCATGCCTCAAGGCAGCAAGTAGAATCCACCTGTATCTCATTTACCATAACACCAGTGGTTACAAAAGAAAGACATCAGAAAAAAAAAAAAATCCCAGACCATTCATGTTAGACCATGGTAAAGAGAATCAGTGATTCAAAGTGCACTACAACATTGATTAGAGGACAGCGTAAAAGCATTATGAAGTACAGAAATGCATTGTATTATATGGTAAACTATGCAAAGCAAAAATATGGAAAAACATCCCATTAACTGGAAATAAATTAGTCATAGAATAAGTATCATTGAATAACAAAGACAGAATCTCAATTTGTAAGTAATACAGAACATCAAAATCACCTCAGCTAAGGTTTAGCCGAAAGACATGGAAAAAGTACTAACAAATTCAAAAGGTAAATGAAAGCTCAGCTGACAATACTGAAGTAGCATATCCCATAAAAACAAAACACAGATTATGTTTACTTACTCTAATACTGGACCAACTACAGCCCTTCTTGTTCTAGTTTCCTGGAGAATAACAAATGACTCAGGCTTAAAAAAAGCTTTCTTAACTAAAACCAAATTGCCAGATAAGCCCTGCTCATCAAAAGCAGCTCTATATGGAAATCATATATAACTAGATTAAAAACATCAACAAAGCAAACAAACAAAACCCAACAGAAATCCCATCTTTCTTTCATACAACTGAAATACAGTCCCCCCGAAGACCCCACAAACAAGGATTTATGACCAGAGAGAAATATATCCCCATCAAATAAACAAATCTTATCTATTCAATTTTTCAGTAATGAACATCATTGTTACCTGTTGTATTAAAATGGTAAGAAAAATAACACTTCACAAGAAGATAAATACTTCCTTTTAAAACAGCATAAGTTATGCACAGTTGGGTCATTCATCTGAAAACAAATGGGACTTACAAGAACTCTCCTCTTGCACTAGTTTCAAGCTGCTATCTGGGACACAGCATAGACAACAATTTAATGTTCAAGGTACCAAATAACAAATCACAGAAAATTAAGAAATGCACTGTTGCTTATGTCAAGTCATAGCACAAAAAAGTTCTTCCAGATAAAGTAATAATGTTAATGTGCAACAGTCAGTAGGATACACATAGTGCATTAAGTCAAATATGTATAAACAAATTATAAATGGCCTCTTAAATGGCAAGTCCACATTAAGAGAAAAAACACTAAGTGGAAAGAAAGCATATACATCTATAGGTTATAGAAAAATTATGGCTAAGAAAAAAGCAAAGTGTCCTGGACTCATGTCTGTAAAATACTCATTTTGAAAATCTCTGAAAATTTATTAATGAATTCCAATTTTCAGCAGCAGTTTTTCAAACCAAGTGAACCATATTTGTATGTTTCTGGGCAGCTGAACATCACCAAAGTAGAATTACAGTGTTGTTAACACATGTGCTGTGGTAAGAGGTAACTGCTTTTCTGTCCCTATTCTCAGAAGAGGCGGGGGGGGGAGGGGGGAAACAAGGCCGGGGCAGGGACCAAAGAGCATATTCATAGCAAATCGCTAATTCTTACAGTGCAATTGATCCACCATCTTCACATTAGGACTATAGCCAAATGCCACTGAAATTTCTAACGTCAATTCAAGGGTTGCCCCAAAACCTATACATTTAAGAAACTAAACCTGAGAAACTGGGATAAGAAGTTTCACAGACAAGGACAGCCCCTGCTGGGTCACGGCTGGGGGAGCAAAAGATGAGACAGGAAGATGAACCCTTACAGAAGGGTGCTGGCAATACCTCCAATCCCTGAAAGGAAAACTAATTCGGAAAATGAAAAGACTTCAGGGAAACATCAACATAAATTCAATCTCCTGGGCAAATTCAGGATTGTAGATGCTGTCTCAAGCCTACTATTGGTCCACTTGCACTAGTACCTATGTGTAAGAAAAACCTTTCCCAAATCACTTTCTTCCACCATTTCTGCTGTTCACATTCATAAGTACTCTGAGCTATAACAAACTACACAGTTTTCACTTTGCTAAACAAGAAAAAAGCCTACACATTTCCATTAAATTATGTGGTATAGGGTTTGCAGGTAGGATTGCAGAGGAGAAAAGCTAGGGAATTTTAAGACCAATTTGTCAGAACTAGTCAACTTTTCATATAAAGTTTCAGAATATTCCCTACAGTAGCACAAGTGGCACAAGCTAAATCCCGTCTGTCTAAGAATAGTTAAGCCTGTCTTAAGACAACAGCATAATGTTAAACAGTTTCTACTTAATAAATAAAAACATGATACTGGATTGTCTTAGTGCAACGGTCTGATTCCAACAGCCCCCAGGCCACGTCTCTCTTCTCTGTCCCCATTTCGCCTTCTGAAACCTGCTAGCTGTTTCTGTTGTTTTAAAACATTTCCCATTTTTTCCATCCTCTTCATATGAAGGGCTTACAGAAACCACCTAACTGCTACAGATCCCAGTCCTAAGAACTTTTACCCAAAAGAAACTATGTAGCAGTCAACTCAGTTATTTATGGGCAGATTATCTCATCTCCAACATAGATATAAAAAAAGCAAGCATAACTCTAAAGCAGTTATACTGTTTCTATGCAGAACCTGAGCTAACCTTGCCAGGTCTTCCCTGGCATCACACTAAGGAGGGAAGCCTTGCCATAACTCCTTGCACCCTCTTTGCAGAAGAGGCAACACTGGGAAACGCAGTGAGACATCCCAAGCGATTCTAGTGTCAACCTGGTACAGCCACAGACAGGCAGACCGTCTCATTCCAGACTGGGCAATCACCCTGATGCCACAGCAAGCAAGGAGATGCATGTGCCACACTTAAATGCAGAGGCTTCATACCTTGGGTCCAGTGCTGCACTTAACCCAGCCAGCCCTCCTGGAGCACAGCACTGCAGAACTGAAGTGACCCCACGCTGCCTATTCCATACATACAGCTGAGCGTTGCTACACTCTGCTCACCAGCTCTCATACCACCCCTATTTTTCCATTATTTGTAATATTACAGCTACCTAATTCCCTGAACTATAGAGTACACCCGTGCACAGTATACCTAAGTGGGTGTGAGTAGAACTGGACATTAGATAATTATACTAATGAGAGGACCAACGTAATTCTAAACAGACCACAACAAAACTAACACCTCTTTTTGACCAATAAGGAGTTTCAACTATGCTATTAGGAATGAGACATACTGAACCCACCTAAACACTGATTTTAAATAAACCCTACAAGAACACAAAAACACCTAGCTATTCTTTTCAGTTTCTACTCATTCTTGCATAGCTGGAAATGAAAAGCAACAAAAAATGGCAGCGTCCTAAAGCACATACGTTTGCATTTTAAATAAACTCTGCTGAGC